ATCTCACAAGACGACATTCCTAGCCAGATTTCATCCGAGCGCAGTATCCTTGAACAGATCGTCCAGCAGACTCTAGAGTGCGCGTGTTTCATCAGGAACTACTCGAAGAAGAAGAGCCCTAGTAAGTCATCGAGCTATTGCACTCCGCATATTGTGAATCTTATACATTATCACAGGGATGATACTCGGGGGAAATGTCTTAAAGACGGATGATCTGATTGCAAGGTACAACAAGATTTTGGACGAGCTTATGCAACAATTAGTCCAGCTTCGTCTAACGCAAGCCAACGAGGTCATGCATACAGTGGTCGCGCTGGGACCGAGTGTTGGCTCGTGAGATTGCCGCAGGGTGAGCGAGAAAAGCAACTTCTACAGGCGAACTGTTGAATAACCTCTATTAATAGACAAATGCTGGGTATGTATGTACGAGTAATTGTAATATAAACGGAATACGGTGCGATTATTAAATCTTGAGGGGGTGAAATATGAGAAGAGTGAGGATACTGTATAGGATCGAGCGAGTGATGCACTGAAGGTTCCCAATCTGGTATCCCGAGGCTATGTTAGAAGCTGTGAAGTGAACACAAGGATAACAGTGTAAAGCGTACCAGTTCAAACTTCCAGTGTACTTTTGACCTGAACGCCATTTATGTCTTGGTGCCAATACGTCGGGAGCAGTTGAGAACAACCTTCTCCCCAACTTCGGTACATGTGGGTGAGGTCATTTGAATCTTCTCAAGATCCCCTTTCATGTTCAGTACTTGTCCGCCAGTCGATGTTGCACCAATGTTAATGACTAGGAGCTCATTCTTGGCGAATTTTGAGACTTTGGTTTGTTTTTCGTCCTCTGTGCGAACGCCCAGCAAACGACGGAGAAGGAACAAACTGTTTTAAAGCTCTAAATTCTCCTTAAAACACGCTAGCATGGCGAAAACGAGGATGCTTAATGGTATAGACCTTTCCGACGGCACCCAGCACTTGACCAACCAAACGATCCGCTCCGCATAGCGTAGGATCTAGACATCGATCAGCCCTCCTGATGGAGATGGGCACGCAACTGAGCAACGCCAATCCCAAAGTTGAGCGTTGAATCCGCCTGGATCCGAAGGAAATACATTTATCCTGATGAACATCGGCAGCTGCATCTCCTGACTGTCTCTCCACTAATGACTCATCTGCAAGACATCAGCCTCTGAGCGATCCAGACTGTTTCAAGAAGCCACAAGGCCTTCAATGTAATCCACGTCCAAAGCTATACCGCAGTATTCACGCAAAAGTCTGTGAAGAACAAAGGCTGGTATCAGCGATTGGGAAGGTTCCGGTGCTGTGGGAACACGGTAATTAATGTATGTCCTACACACCAGATGTGTATTATCGAGCATCGGCCACTCGGCGGTGACGGGCGCGTCCGAGAAGTAGTTGGCTGGAGATGCAGATTTACGATCTGAGGCTCGATTTAACATAGAATATCATTGGTCGGGCAGTAAAAACGGGAATCGAGATTGTGACGGACTCATGATCAGAAGTGGAACTTGAGTGTTTCACCTGCACAGCCTAAACATAAACTGTGACATGAACACGTGGAGGACAACGTACCAGCCCAAACTTCTGGTGACGCCGACTTGACCTCAACATTCATTGTATCTCGGTGTCAATATATCGAGACCAGTCAAGAAAGATATCGTGGTAGGTGATGATTTTGGACTTTGTTGGATAAAACGGAACAGCGCTCGACCCATCGTTAGGAGGCAGGAGGTATCAGCGATAACGCATGGCCAGAAATTTGAAGGACAAACTGGTATAATCTATGGACGCCATACATCTGCCAGGCGGAGAGCGGATGATCACTCGGCTCGCTACGGGTTTGGACTCGAAGAGTGGCAAACAGATAAGGGATGACTGATGGGACGGAGGAATGCAGTGTACACTATAGCGTCATCTCCGGACGTCTTACGCACCGAATTGGTATCATTGGTGAGATGACGGGCACCTTCGAAGAGCAGTTGGGTGAGGAGGGGCAGTTTTACACTTTGTTGGTTACATGTTGACGAATGAAGTTGCATCAGGTAGGGTTGTGACGGGACACGCGAAGGGCGTACGGTCAGTCCGTCGTGGAAAGAAGATTGTGGCTGATGGAATGCGACTCGTGATCAGAAATGAGGCTTGGGCGCTTCAGTTACACAAGATATGCTGTTAGCTGTGAAGTGAACGCGAGGACAACACGTTTTAAACGTACCAGCTCAAACTTCCGGTGCATTCTTGACCTAAATGCTCTTTGTATCTTGGTGCTAATACGTCGTGAGCAGCTGAGGAACATAGTGTTGTAAGTGATAATTTTGGACTTTGTTGGATGAAAGCTAAGGCGGAGCTGCGGCTAGTAGTTGATTATGTCTTTACCCATCCGAGTCGTTGGAAAGCAGGAGAAATCGAAGATAACTCTGCCCCGCCAGAAATTTGAGGGACACACCGATTGGATTGAGGCCGTCATACATCTGCCAGACGGAGAGCGCATGATGACTTGTTCAAGGGACGGCTCGCTGCGGGTATGGAACTTGAAGAGTGGAAAACAGATAGGAAACGACTGGCGGGACGGAAAGAGTGAAGTATTCACCATGGCGTTGTCTCCGGACGGGAAGAAAGTGGTTAGCGGGAGTAAGGATGGCGAAGTGAGGTTGTGGGACATCGAGACAGGCAAAGTCGTCGCGAAATGGATGGGGCACACAAACGGAGTGACGTCTGTCTGCTGGAGTCGAGATGGCCGGGGAGTCTTGAGCGGATCTGACGATGGGACTGCAAAGCAGTGGGATGTAAAGAGCGGAAAGACGATCCTCACACCAATCGAGACAGGGCACCCTGCGCTCACAGTCGTCTACTCGCCAGACATGACCATGTTTGCGACTGGCGGATACGAACAGCCTTGGGACACTGGAAACAAATACCATGTCAAAATCTGGAATTTGAAGACAGGCGAGCTTGTCGCTACTCTCAAAGGACATACAGAAGAAGTGTTTTTCCTGGTTTGGCCCGAGGCCCCGGACGGAAAAACGCTTATATCTGGGTCATACGATCAGTCGATTAGGACATGGGATACGACAACTTGGAAACAGATTGCAGTGCTGGAAGGGCACACCGAGGGTGTCTTTGCCATTGCAATATCTCCAAATGGCCGCATCCTCGCAAGTGCATCGGAAGATAAGACGGCGCGATTGTGGAACCTCAGCAACAACCAGCCCATCAGTTCACCCCTCCAGCATCAACCTCTCGTGAAATCTGTGTCGTTTTCGGTAGATGGAAAGCTACTAGCCACTGGCTGCGGCTATGACGATGATAACGCATATACCTGGGATGTTTGTGCGATAGTCAAAGAAGCTGGCCTCGAAGAACTTCTGTTGGACCAGCACGACAAGCCGCTACCCGCCGTCCGTGACTTTTATAAACAAATCTCATTGCATTTAAACTTATTCCTTCTAGACTGATGCTACACGACGTCCAGTCCGGCCATTCGATCTCTCTGTACGTAACACTCTCATCCTCAGGTCTCATTGCATTTAGACCTATCTCTTATAGGCTGATGCTACACGACATCCAGTCTGTCAGCCAATCATCGTCCCCCAGCTCCGGGTACCCGAAGGTTTTTTTGACGACCTACCAGATCGCGCTCACGTACGTGGTTAATATCTCATCCAGTCAGCATCTAGTATCGTTTTCCTGACCTCAATATTCTTAGATTTCTGCACGGCACCACCTCCACCCTCGATCATGGGCATCGCATATAAGCACCCTTCGTGGCCAGTTTTCATCTTTATTCCACCCCATACACCCCGATGCCCACATTACACCATCTCGACCCCGCCCTTTCCACTGGACTAGAAACCTTTTCTCTGGCAGACCAAGCGGTGAAGACATCGAGCTGCACGAGCATGGCTCAACAGTAGTTGACGTCCCTCATTGCCAGGCCAAACGCGTATGTCACACACTTTCTCGAATGTTCAAACCCCATCTCATACCACACAGAGGAACGCGTCAGCAAGAGAAAAACGGAGACCAATTCCATTGAAATCCGAGAAACCTGCTGCAAGCACCTCACGTCCTCCCAATAGCAACACCACACAACAATCTAATAGTGTGGCTCAGGCCCAGTTGTCTTCGCAACCACAGGCTACCGTCTCTACCACTACCACCTCACCTGCCGCCGTCGCTAATACAACTTCAAGCACTAATCCTCATGTAATGATAAGACATGCTGGACGCTGGACGCGCTTCTGGCTCTTTATATGTTGTACCTCTACGGAGTATATCGACGGCCACCATTAATCCAATCTGCTCATTCTTTGCGAAGTTCTCATCTGACATACTGGTAGGATAAGTCCTTTGAGATTGAAGCTGCGCCATGCTGTGCCTTTCAGTTTCACATCCTCGTCGCGGTGCACCCCTCATATGGCACCAACGACGACTCTGTAATCACATGCAACGAACGTACTCCACAACATACGCGTCTATTGGACTGATCACTGGTGTCGTACTTACTCTACTGCCTGTTCCAAACTGTGGTAAGCGGACGTTGACATCCGATGACTCCAAAGCCCACAGCTCATGTTGAATCACGTAGTTCACGTTCAATAAATAAATCTGTCTGGCAGCAGCTATTGATTCCATCTCGCACTGCCTGCCTTGATGCCGTGGAAAAAATTACCCATAAAAGCAAGCGCCCGAATTAAGCGAAGAGTTGGCAGATTCTTGGAACGTGTTGATGCTGTTCGAGTTTTTACTGAACTTCAACAATTATCTTCACGCTAACAATGAAGTCTCGGCCACCGTTAAATCTTCCGACGGAGACAGAGTGCTCACCTATTCTTATTGTCAGCCATCTCATGATGAGCACTTTGGATCTCTGTCCAAGGATACACCTGTGGAGTTGTATGTCCGTGTCCGGTGGGATGAGAAGAGCAGAAGAATGCACTCACTTTGTGAATGTAGGTCCGCAGCGGGCCACCTCCGTTGGCGCCAGTTACCTTATCAATCATATCACGGAAACTTGAGCTTATAAGAAAAATCAGTCTGAAAGGGAATCACATCAGGCAATATTATGATAATACCTTGCGATGAGCTCGGTCTGATACTGTAGACTACGGGAACGCAGCGTAGAACCTTGAATGCGGAGACGCTTGTGAAGGATCGGGCTTAGGTCGACTGCGGGGACCTCGCTCCCTAGCCAACCATTTAGTCACGAGTTTTTGGACTTCAAGACACAACAAATGCCCACCACTCAAAGTAGCCAACATCGTCATCCTACCATCAATGGCGAGGGATTCTATATTTTTGGCCCAATGACTTTGTCCAACGAAATCTATGACAACATCAACACCTTTACCGTTGGTCGTTTTCTTCACCTCCGCGGCAAAGTCTTCAGTTCTGTAATTGACGGTATGCGTGGCCCCGTTAGGAATAGACCGCAGCCAATTAAGTTTTTCTGTGGTAGACGCCGTTGCAGTTACGGTTGCCCTGTGAATACGAGGTGATACGTATTCAGCAAGAACATGCAGAACAAAGCAGAACAATATCGAAGGCAGTGAGGATCGGGATACTGAATACCGGAACACTCACGCTCCTGATTCTCTTGCTATTTGGATAGCCGCAATACCCACACCAGAAGCGCCTGCATGAACGAGTACATGATCGCCCTTCTTGACTTCCCCGTACTTCACAAGAGCTTGATAGGCTAAGAATGGTCCCAGAGTAGTCAGAACCGAAGACGACTGCTTACTTGGCTGATCTGCCGTACTCACCTGTAATATAGCATTCTGGTATACTGGCTGCCTCCACCCAAGATAAGTAATCGGGCTTCTTCAACAAGAGTCCTTCGTCACAGTTTACGAACTCCGCATAAGCTCCCTGAGGTACCCCGTGACAATTTTAGTCAGTCAAGAACATACACCTTGGCTTGGGCAATCGACTAACGCCGCCCACAAGACCGAATACTTCATCCCCAACAGCCCATCTCGTTACTCCTTCCCCGAGCTCAGTCACACGCCCAGAGAATTCCACACCAAGAATAGAGGAAGCGCCTGGGGGTGGAGGGTAGCTTCCCTGACGCTGGTAATGGTCCAAGCGATTAATGCCGAATGCGACAATCTACCACGAATATTCCATACCGGACTAGATCAATTTTCGTAGATCCATAATATGAAGAAAGGCACGGACCTTTACCAAGACCTCTCCCCTCGTTGGGACTGGCTTATCTGTCTCCCCAATGTAGAGGTTCTCGATGGGACCCTGACCGTCTTTGATTAAAACAGCGCGCATCTTGGACATCATCACAATAGCACCGGGTGTCATGGTTCGGACGATCGTTGCTCTGTGTCTATGATAAGTGATGGTGCGTGGATGTTTGAATCTGAACACAAAGAGGTGGGCAGGGGTAATCTGATTCCGGATATGGAGCGTAACCTTACATAAGCTTCTAAACCTTAATTCACCCGAATCCTATCTGTAACACTTAAATATTCCCTGCCAGAGTATACATTTCAAAATTGGAATAACTTATTATAAGAGGTTTTGTATCCCACGAAAATTCAGCAACTACCCAGCTGTCTCTGGAAAGAATGGCCCGTAGATGTCGCAGGGAAGTCTGATTTCAGA